AAATAAATCTGTTCTTTTTTTCTTATAAAAGGTTAAATAAAACAAAAACATTGTTGGTAATTTTCTGTGTAACTTTACAAACAGCTCACAGTTTTTCACAGTTTCTCCTGCAGAMTGAAGTCACAAAACAAAGAAAGAATTCACCTAAAATCTTTTTATTTTAATTAAAAGTGGAGGAAAAAAACATCAGAGAAACATCCTGATGGAGCTCAAACACTGAAGAAAATATAATCCAAAGCTTTTACTTTGAAAGTCAACACTAAGATCTGACCGTTTTTAAACTTTTCATCTTTTAAAACTTGTAAGTTTAATGTGATTTCTTTGTTTAATTTTTCTGATTAATAAAAGTATTTTTCAGTCAGAGAGGTGAGGTTTGGATCAGCTGACAGCTGCAGCACATTTCACAATAAAAGAAGARGAGCTGCAGGTTTTTCTGCTGAGGACATGTTTTTATTTCTCCTGGCAGAAAGTTTCCTCTGAAACTCCCTGAACCTGTCAGAAACACTGATGAGTGATTATTATAATATGTTCAGCTTCAGGCTGCAGTTCACCTGTGGAGGGTTGGACTTCAGCTAAAACTTCAAGCATATTTTTGTACTTGCTTGAAAGAAAGATACTTTAATCCAGAGTATAGTTTAATCCAGAGTATAGTTTAATCCAGAGTATAGTTTAATCCAGAGTATAGTTTAATCCAGAGTATAGTTTAATCCAGGGTGTATGGTTGTGGAACGGTCTGGAGGATGATCTTTAAAACACCAGATCTATAAATATATTTAAAACACAGATAAAAACTCGTTTTTTGAAGTTATTTGAAAAGTAAAATGTGAAGCTGTATGATTTGTTGTTTGAGTTGATGTTTTTATGTTTTTATGTTTTTTTCTTTATTTTTATTTACTTCTTTATTTTTTTGTAATGTTTTGTAAATTATGTTTTGTTTGAATATATTCTGGGGACAAAAGGAGCAGACAAGATTTATTCTTCTGCAACCTTTCATTTTATTTTGATTTGTGTATTTTCTCTGTATTTTTATTGTACGTACTGTAGTTATTTTTAATGAAATGAATGAATTTTTTGAATTGAATTGAAAAACTGAAAAAAATTATTGACGTTTAAAC